AATTTGAGAGGTCCAATAAACAGAACGATAATTTCCCGGTCAAACCGAAAGTTAACACTTCAAGTAAACCGAAGGACAATGCGGTTGTTACAAATGTAAATTCTAAACATTTACAAAAACGCGAGTGTTCCGACGGAAAACTTAATTTTTATTCCTTGGAAAAGATTACTATTTACATTGCAGGGAAGCAAGTAGAAGCTATAAAAGATTCAGGTACGGAAATACCAATTTTGAACACTACATTAATTCCTGATTTAAAAATAGAAAGTAAGGGTAAAATCATTTTAAGTTCCGCATTTGGCGACGTCATAGAGGCAACGTTAGCAACTATTCCCATTTATTACAAAAAAACCAAACAGTTGTCTATATTCGCGCGTAGAAGCTCTTTTCGCGTTGACAGATAAGCTAAATGTTCAATGTTTAATTACACCAGATGTATGGGATCGCATATTTGAAGACGAGAATGAATCAACAGTCTTCCCCGAGACGAAACCGGAAACTCATAAACAAAAACAACTTGAGGTTGGCGCCGTTGAACTGTCAAATGTAAATCTTTTTTATAGCTCAGTTGCGAATCAGAATGATGAAAGACTAAACAGTTATTCGGAATCGAATAAATTTAAGGTCGATCAGAGAAACTGCCAAACGTTAATAAATTCTTTTAAGGACGCAGAAGTAGGGAAGAATAATTTCTTTTTACAGGACGAATTATTATTTCATAAAGAAAAAATTTGTGGGGAAAACATACAACAGTTAGTTTTGCCCGAGAATTATCGAAATAAAGTCCTTCAATTAGCTCATGATTCCATATTCGGAAATCATTTAGGTATGAGGAAAACTAAAGAAAGAATTAAGCTTTCATTTTATTGGCCGAACATATCCAAAGATGTAGAAAATTATTGTAGAACATGCGAAAGATGTCAATTAAAAAGTCCGGAAAGACAATCGGATAAAATTCCGATTACTCCTATTGTTCGCGCGCCATATCCCTTTCATACAGTAAATATAGATATTATTGGTGAAATTTCACCTCCTTCAGGAAGGAAACATAAATATTGTTTGTGTTTGATAGATAATCATTCAAAATGGCCAGAAGTCATACCTTTAAAAAGTCTTTCTGCTAAAGCTACTTGTGAGGCTCTTTTAGATATTTTTATGAGAACCGGTATTCCAGAAATAATTTGTAGTGATCAAGGCACTAATTTTACCTCACAATTAACTCAAGAATTCGAAAAAAGGTTAGGAACTCATCCTCGTTTTTCGACACCTGGTTACCCAGCATCAAACGGCTCAGTGGAAAAATGGAATCGGGTATTTAAACAAATGTTACATCATGTAATTCGCACAGATCCTGTTAATTGGGACAAGCACATACCTTATTTACTTTTTGCGTATCGTGAAGTTCCAAATTGCACTACCGGTGTATCTCCATTTATGCTTATGTACGGTCGTGAAGCTAGAGGTCCCTTAGCTGTGTTAAAATCATCATGGTCCGGTGAAATACCATTACCTCTTAATCTGAGTAATTCAGCAGTTGATTATCTACAAGAATTAAAGATAAATTTAGAGAAAGCATCTGAGCTCGCTTCTTTATCTGCCGCGGAAAAACAAGAAGCTTATGCATATTATTTTAACCGTCGCAAAAGTTTGAAAGAATTTAAAAATGGTGATCTAGTATATTTACTTATACCAGACTCTAGCAACAAGCTATATGCTAGGTGGACAGGTCCAGGTGAAATTGTTGAAAGAGTAAATCCTCATTCTTACAAAGTTAAATTACCCGATGGGAGTGTGAGGCATGTTCATGTGAAACAAAATAAGAAAATTTTATGTTCGAGCACAAACTGTGGGAGTAATATTTGAAGATAATTCTGAGTTTGGAAAAATTCATCCAACTCCAAATAAAAGAGATTGCGGAGTAACTAGAAAGAACATCGAGGTGGATATTAGTCATTTAGAGCGTAGCAAGCAAAAGGAATTACACGAGCTTTTACTCAAGCACATCATGTTATTTCCTGGTAAGATCCAAGTAGCCAGTGTTGGTGAACATAGAATTCGGTTGTTACCTGGAGCTGAAAGAAAAAAAAACATATCTATAAGATTCCAGAATCTTTGAAACCTAGAGTAGATAAACAGATCGAGGAATTGGAGAGCTTGGGTCTTATTGAGCCAAGTGAAGCTGAAATAGCATACCCAGTCGTATGTGTTGCCAAGAAAGACGGAAGTATGCGTTTATGTATTGATTTCAGGTTGTTGAAATCAAGTAACCAAGCCTGTTGATTTTCCAATGGAGAATGTGACTGATCTAATCAATAAAATTGGACACGCGAATGTTATCACCTGTTTAGATGTCTTGAAAGGGTTACTGGGAAATACCTTTAGAAGAAGAAAGTCGTGATTTAACATCATTCAAGACACATCGTTCCCAATATCGTTGGAAAGTGATGCCTTTTGGATTAAAAAATGCAGCTTCTACTTTTCAGTGAGTGATGAATGATGCCTTCAGAAAACATAGTGATTTTTGCAAAGCCTATGTTGATGATATTGCTATCTTTTCACCAGATTGGAAATAACATCTCAAAATGTAGATGCTGTGCTAACTACATTAAGTGATCTCAGGTTTACGGTGAACGTGAAAGAAATGTGTTTTTGCACGTTCGGAGATAAAGTATTTAGGACATATAATAGGAGCTGGAAGACATCAACCTGATCCTGAAAAATTACAAGCCATTGAAATTATAAAAAGTCCTAAAACAAAGACTGCTCTAAAGAGTGCATTAGGCTTATTCAACTATTATCGTGATTACATAAAGAATTATGCAGAAATAGCTCGCCCATTGACGGAGCTTACGAAAAAGAAAATTCCTGAGATAATTCCATGGACTGATGTTGAGGAATCAGCATTTCAAGAACTGAAACGTCGACTGTGTGAAGCACCAAAACTGTACACTCCAGAACCAGAAAAACCTTACACCATACAGTGTGATGCTAGTTCATATGGTGTTGGTGCTTGCTTGTCACAACGAGACAGCAAAGGCAGTTTGCATCCTATCAGCTTTGCCAGTCAAAAACTTTCGAAGACTCAGCAGAACTGGTCAACTATTGAACGCGAGGCTTATGCCATTGTGTGGTCATTAAAAAAGTTCGAGTGTTGGGTGTTTGGATCGAATATCAAGCTGATCACAGACCATAATCCATTATTATATTTGTATAAGTCGGCACCACATTCAGCCAAATTACAGAGGTGGGCAATGGCACTTCAGCGCTATAATATTCATATTTCTCATTGCCCTGGTGCACAATTGAAAAATGCAGATAGTCTTTCAAGACTAGTTGGTGAATGAAATAGGTGTGGACTAAGTATGAACTAATATGTTTTGAAACTTTGCATTAGTTATCTTTCTTTTGTTCCGGAATTGTACGAGAGCTACTTTCCATCTGTTTTGAAAATCAAATTACTGGTTTCTATTTAATATTGCATTATAATAGTGTGTTTTGAAATAGTATTGCATATATGTTTTATTACAGAACTCCGGTATTGTATCAAGCCATCTGTTCATCTGTTGTGAGATGAATGTTTATTGCATTTATTTCAAAGTATGTTATTACATCATGTATATATGTTTATATATTTTGAATTAGTTTGGTTAAGGAAAAATATATATAATGAGATACTTGGCAAGTATAGGTATTACGTTTGTAAAAGTGTTTATATATGTCATTTTAGTGCTTAAATTGTTTATTTCAATGTGAGAGAATTTAAATATTAATAAGTGTATTAATTATTAAGCATTGTATGTGAAGTATACAATTTAAGTTTGTATTTGCTGGTTCAGTTTTCAGATTCTGCTTCGCTTTGGCGTAGCACAATCTTACCGGGGGGTCATGTATCTGGCTGCGGTGAGCCAATCAGCTGCCTGGCAGAGCCCAGCAAGTGAGAAAGACAAGAGTTGCATGTTAGCCTCAGATGAGGTAGGTGGTAGATTAACTATGCTGTAGGAGCGAGGTAGTGCTCCCTTTTTTACCATTATTCTTTGAACGTTAATTTTTAATAAATGTTTGTGTCGTTTTCCTTATGGTGCCTTATTCATCCGTAAGGTCATCACAATGACCTTTAAAGCAAAAGCCTGTTCTCCTTTCTAAACTATGAAAATATGAAATTTTATTTAAGAACAAGATGTAATACAGAAATTGTTTGTAATTTACTGATTAAACAGATATAATTTACGGACAAGATATTATCTGGAATTTTTTTTCTCTTTGCATTAGTCTTCAATATATTTTTACGATTATGTTCAGGTTACACTGAATTTAACACCCGTATAATATACATTCATTAGCTGATTAATTATATCAAAGCACCAGAGTTTCATTTGCCCAAGGAAAGATACTTCTATAGAAAAACAGCACCTACTCTATATTCACATTACAGATCAGACACATATGCAAATCATAAACACATCCATGTACCCACAAAAGCACCCCTTCATAGCTAACACAAAAGTTAAGGACAATTTTTTCAAATTTCATCTACTTGATATTTGGTCAATTTTTTCTAATTAAAAATCACATGAACAGCAAGTAAAAAATTAGTTGAATTCATAACACAAACTCGCATTTTACCTATTTTTATCACAATATCTACCCCTTCCCAAACAAATTTTCAAATTAAAGATTTCCGTATACCAAATGAAATCTTAATTGACAGTCCAATTAAGAACAAGTTTTATGTATAGACGACACACTTTCAGATATTCTACAACACTTTTAATATAAAAACTGTGATGAGCATTGATAAAAAAATTGCATCTAATTTCAAATTTGTGTTCTTCAATGAGTTTTAAGTAGCAATAATTTGTATTAGTAAATACATAATTTAATTTTATTACTGTTAATAATCATGTTTACTCATGATATGAGCACAGATTTTCCCACATATGCAAAACTTTGACAATTAAATCCCCATTACTGGATATTTCTTAAAATATTCTAAAACATACCATAATATAAAAGCTTTGTACTCAGCTTCAGTCAGTGGCTTTGGAACTGCAAAATACTTCATCCCTTTTACAATTTCAAAATATTTCTTCATCTGTTTTAAGAAATCAAAGCATTCTTTATCATAAACCTAAAATATAAATATCATAAACCTTATTATGGTTAGTATGAAATTCCATTCAGCAATCCTGTTTAATGACAGGGTAAAATAGATAAGAATTGTAAAATATGCAGATTAGAAGAATCTCACAAGACACATAATATTTCATAGTAGTTATTTATAGACAATTTTCAGTGAAGTAATTCATATTAATTCAACATAACATGTTCATGTTAAGAGCTAGCACATTCTAATACTTTTTCATAACTACATCCATTGTTGTCAAAATTTGTAAATATATAAATCCTATTCACTGAATTCTTGTAATAATGTTCATTGTTTCACTTAGTTATTTGTTGCTTTTGGGATAATAGTTTAAGGGTTTATTTCATACATAACTGAATTGTGTCCATACATTTTGTACATAAGTATTAATTTCTTATATAGAATTGTAGATCTTTCAATTCTGAATGCAACAACACTTAAACTGTAAGAATAGCTCAAGTAAAATTCAAGATATGGAAAAATACTGTTTTGTTGTTGTAAAGTTGGAGTAAAGTCAGCAGCTTGCCAAATTTGAAGAAGATTAGTGGAAACATATTTTTGAGGACCTAAGACTAATTTCCTCTGAAGCACCCAGAAGTCCATTCTACACTACATGAATACGATTTCGAGAGTTGTACGAATTACTGAGATAAGTAATTGTTAATCAGCTGTGAGACTTAGTGATTCAAAGCAATTTAGAGTTTACCCTGTGAAGGATTTAGGGAACTGAAGATGTTTTTCAAATGCTAAGGAGGAATTGCTTAATAGCCTCATACTCCTCGAGCTAGTACCAGTAATTTATTGTCAAATTTCTATAAGTTGTCAATTTCTTACTGTTCATCTGGAGCAATTATTTAACCGTTTGACTGCTACGCGGCGCAAAAGCGCTGTGTTCATTTATCTCGAAAACCGCGACGCAATTACTTTTTTTAGAATGCACTTATGTTACAAAGTACGTGTAAGGTCAGACTACGTGCGTTCACACCCACGGAGCAACAAAGACACACTGAAACTTACAGCGCGTCGCGGTTTTCGAGACAAATGAATGCAGCGCTTTTACGCCACGTAGCAGTCAAATGGTTAAAGAGATATGACCAAAATCATAGCCCACAATAACTGATGCCAAAATTCTATATTTCTGTGAATGCCTGTAACCAGGAAGATAGCAGCAGCTAAGCCACTGAAATTATGATCTTGACTGAATTGAATGTTGACAAGATGAAGAACTCTATGGATGAAAATGCTGCTGAGATGAGAAAGGAAGAAGAAATAAAGGAGAGCACTTCAGTAGCCCTCTCTGAAATGAAAAGCTTCACTCAAGTAAATGCTACTGAAATGAAAAATAGTATTGCCATGGTTAGAAAGTGTGAATAAGAAAGTAGCTACCACAGAAGAGAAACTTGAGAAAGAGACAGAGATTGTATGCAAAGATCTGCAGTGAAGGACAGACTTCAGAAAGGAGTGCTAAGGTTAGAAAATAAATTTTTACAAATGGTTTCATTCTGTAAACAACATTCCAGCTCATCCTACTATGAATAACATCTTAGTTTAATTATCACGCCCTACAATTAAAGGCCTACGACGGGAAGTCATCATGGAGTGTATACAAAATATTAAGTAGTGGGCAGAAGAGCTCTTTTCTATGCTAAGAAAGCGGAGGTTGCACAGCAAGCCAACAGAAGAGACTTTCCACCTTTAAGGGGTTTTATCAACACAAAAGACAAGGTGCTAAGACTGATAACAAAACTACTGAAAAGACAGCAGGCAGTAAAACTAAAAATTCAAAGAAGCTGCAACAGTAAATTAAAGTTTTAGAGATGTGGCAGTGAAGGACACTTTACAGAGGCCGTGTTCTATATGTTAACAACTAAGTAAAACCCAAACAAAGAAAATGAAATTGATAAAAGCAGAACCTCAGCTGTTGGTGCTGAACAGATATCATCAGTTATGGCAGAAATCATAGATTCTGTGTTGCAGGAAATAAAAAAAAAAAAAAATGATTTCAGATATTGGTGCTAATATGATTACTTTTAGCATTGATCCAGCTGTAAAATGGATGGAAACATGCTGTATCCATCTTTAACTCCATCCATTGTGAATGGACAGAAAATGTCAGTGTGCTGAAATGTGAATGTACACATTAAGTTTCTATCCTCAGCATAAATGCACACAGTTTATGTGGCTGATATATCAGATCCATGGGTTCTCGGACTTGATTTCTAAAGAAATATGGATTTTGCTTAAGCATCAAAAATCATTCTCACCTCTAATGATGAAATACTGATGTTTGGAGCAGCTGAAAATAAAGAAAGCTGTTATATATGATTATTGCTCATGAGAATATTATTAGCATTTCAGAACAGAATGCATCATCAGCGGCAAAATGGAAACTCCAACGAAGCAACCTGTATGAATTACTGAGCTCCTTAATGAAAATACATATTTGAACCGGCTTTGAATTACAATGGACTTCACTAAAATGTACTAGCTAGGGTTGCCAACGTATGTGAGAGGTCACACATATTTATGACATGAACGGATACATGAAAGGAAAGGAAACTGCTTCATGTTCCTGTGACCAGTAATGTGCGAATTTCAATCAATCAGAAGACCATTTTAGCCACATTAAAAGATTTGACTGAAAACAAGAGACTAAATGCTAAAGAAATTCAAGCTGAAAGACATTTAACAAAGGAACTTAAAAATCTATTTTCCATTTCATCTAATGATGTTAGTCGCATGAATATGACATAACACCGGAAGTCTTCCATCTATTAACCCTTCAGCACATGCACATCACTGTGCTACTTTAGTGCACGTGCGGGACACATTTTACCCCAATGTTTCTTTTTCCGAGTTCCCTCATCAACGTATAAATAAATGCATTTTCTTTATTTTAAATGAATGTATAAATATAACTCAATATAAAGTCATACAATTATTCATATCAAAGAATAGATTCTAAATACGAACATTAAAAAATATAAATAACACATAGGTTTTCCGCCCCCCTCCTACTTGAGTTTAATTATTCAAATAATCTCGTTTTGAACAATCCTCAGATAGTGCAACAACATATTTTTACAAACAATTTCTCAGGTGAAGGTCTGCTACATCTTCTATTCCTGCCAACCTTTTTACTCCAGTTTTGAGTTCTTTCGAGAGAGAGAATGAGAGGAATTGCAGCCCTTTTTAGGACATATTCTTTTACAAGCTCTAATGCTAAATCTTTGAGAAAAGCTCTTTGGTTCATATTCACTTGGTCGTTATTTGATCGATGAATAATGAAAGCATTTATACCTGCAATGTTCATCAGTCCGAAAAATACCGTTAGCGCCCAGCGATGGCATTTACTTGAAACAGACTAAGTTCCACCTAACTCATCAACAGTAGAAACATCACCTTTTGTAGAGTTGCAAAAAGTTATCATTTTGAGCTTGAGCTGCTCTTTAGACAATGGATCGATTTGATTATCCTCATGCATGGATGATAGAACAAGAATTGATTTACTCTTTTTTTGGAACACATGAAATAACAGTTAATTGTTTACCTCTAAACCCAAAACGCGAAGAGTACAGAAGTCTGTTTTATTTGGCAGAAATTCTGGAATTTCACGCTTATCTTTTCGAAGTGTCCCAAAACATGTTACTCTGTGCTTTTTCAATAATTCATTGGCCAAATTAATGCTCATGTACCAAATGTCCATAGTTATATGTCTTTTAGCGCCACTTATGGATGCAATAATAAGTCTTTGTACAACGTCCAAAGCCACATTTAATTGTTTGTATAGTCTGACAGGCTGCTGACCTGCATAAATTTCTAGGTTGTATGTGCAAAATGTATGAGAATCGCACAAAGCAAAAGTTTTTATTCCATATTTTGGGAGCTTAATTTTTATATATTGTCTGAATTGACATCTTTCTCAAAAGGGTTCTAATTTTTCGTATATAGTACAATATTCAGATAATATATTTTTCGTATGTTTTTAACAAATATTTGAAAAACATTTCTGATAAGTGCAAGTCTAGCCGTCATCTTTTGCTCTGCTACTAAATTTATGTCATTAAATCTAATACACCTCAACAAGTTGATAGACATTGTTATTTGAAAAACAGTTATTCTGCTTCCGTCAGCTGACCACAAATCTTTGCTTTGAGAAGTGCTGCTCTCAGCACTCCAGCGTAATATAACAGGAAAAACGTCTTCAATTCAGCTACATTTGTCTCTTGTGCATCACATTCTCTAGAGAATTTTTTTCTTATTGATGAAATGTAAATGTTTGTTGATTTCACCAAATCTTCCATTATTTCTTCATTAAAAATTTGCAATAAACACTCAGTTGGATTTTTCAAATTTCAAAAGCTTTTCTTGACACCACGTAAATGTGTCACTATATTGTCTGGCCGTCTCCGAACGTTTTTCGAGGGTAATTTTTTACTTTAAATTGTCCCATATTTTCAAACATAAAAAATTATCTGATGTCAAAGAAGATATGCTCCCTGAATCATGTGAATCATCATATTACTGGTCAGAATCAGTTTCATGAGCACTTTCAAAAATATTATCGCACTCAGAATCGGAATCTTCAATTTCGCTATCAATATCAACACTAGCAAGAAGAACCTGCAGTCGTTACTGTTCTCGCTCGTATGCACTCATCTCAATGAATATCTCTCTAGAAGTGAAACGTTAGTACACGCACGGGGTAGCTACAATCCCATTGCACATTACTTCTCCGAAAACACAAAATCTCTAGGACACGGGAAAAATTCCTCTGGATGACCCTTTTCTTAACCTTGATCTTGAAAGGTACACGAAGTACTAGAAAGGTCACGTATGACCTTGCTTATTTTCTAAGAAAAGACTACACGTGGGGTGGATTTTACCCCAGCGCGTGTGCTGACGGGTTAAGCAACTTATTCGCCATCTACCTTTCGTAAAATCAAAAGGAATCAGAAAGTTTTTCAGAGAGATTCATGAGCCTT